CTCCCTGAGCCTATATCCAAATGATCAGAACTAAACTTCCAATTAGAAGAGGATATTATGGGACAATGAATATAAAAGCAAATAAAGTTCTATGATTCCAGTTCTAAAATTTTCAAGAAGAGCTATTTTTTCAGATCCCAGCTACTGTTTAATTGGATGGGGGAATTGTTTTCATTGTGTCCCCAAGTCATAGTTCAATTAATTAACTTTCAAGCTTTTAAGAAAAGAAAATTGATTCTAACTATAGCATGTGATCAGAAAGGTATCTAAAATATCTGAGCTAAAGCGCTTTGGAATATATTATACAGATTACAAGTTACAAAGTTTACTCTTTTCTTGCCCTTTTTCCTTTCAGGAAGCAAAGCTTGGAAAGAAATCATCAAATGTTGCAGGACACTTGTAAGCGCAGAGAACTATGACAACCTGATAAGGAGGGTATCTTTTTCTTTAACGTTTGTCCAACAAGAGAACACATTGTTAGTGTGCTTGAATTCCAACAAAAGAAGGCATAGAATGAATCTTGGTTCTTCCCTTTTACTTGCTAACTATGTACTGAATGAATAAATGGTGCATTATACATCTATAAAACAGCCCAAAATAACATTTTTAGTGAGTGTGAATCTATACAAATTTCCCCGAAAAACACGAAACTAGGATGCCTGCTGTGAAAGATAAAAGCTCTGATCATATTTTTAAAAGAAGGAAGTCTTAGCAGTTGATAAAAGACTGTTTTAGGCCTAAAGACTGGTATAAATTTAAGAAGGGGCTGGGCATGGTGGTTCACACCTGAAATACCAGCAGTTTGGGAGACTGAGGAGAGAGACTTGACTGAGCCCAGGAGTTCAAGACTAGCCTGGGCAATAGTGACACCCTATCTCTACAAAATATAAAGTTACTCAGGCGCAACAGTGCACACCTGTAGTCCCAGCTACACAGGGTAAGAGTGACGTTCAGGGAAAGAAAGGATGAGGACATTAGCCAGAAGTCTCCAGGGACTGGTTCCTTCCCACCTTACCTCCCACCAGACTTTCTCCACCAATAATTGTATACTAATTAAAGCAAAGCCAGCAGCCGCTCTGTTTCTCATGGCCATGCCTCTTACTAGAGCGTCTTTGGTGTTTGGAGAGCCCTGCTGCCACAATCTGTTTTCTCTTCTTTTTCTGGCTTTTCTTCTTTTTCATGTAACTTGTTTCTTCTCTCTTTTAAGACTTATCTTAGATGTCACCTCCTCTGCTTCTGCCCAGACCCAACTGGGTCCCTCTCCCCTGGCATCTAGTTGTTCTCTGTGACTGCTAGCATTGCACTTACTACCTTCCACTAAAAAGTCGAAATTTCATGCCTCTGCCAATTTTGTTTCAGAAATATCTCTTGATTCCATTCTCTGATCTTGTCCCAGTGCCTCTACTGTTTTGATTCAGGTAATTGTCATCTATTGCTCACCTGGTTTCTTACAAACCCCTCTCCCTGGTTTTCCAGCCTCTCTTTAGCAGTTCAATAATCAGAATACTGTCAGAATTTTCTTCCTAAAACACATGTCATTTTTCTGCTCAACACCTTTATTTTCACTCATTTACAAAATAATAAAACCTAAACTTTTAACACAGCAAAAAAAAAAAAAAAAAAAAGAGTCATAATTTGACCTTTATAGTCTCATTAGCCCATACTTCTGCCACTCTTAATCTATGTTCTGGGGACATTAAATATCTGGCCATGCTCAAGAAACCTGTGCTCCTTAATACGTATGTGACTTCCACAGAGCCAGTTCCTTGCCATAAAATGCCTTTCCCCCATTTAGTTCTTTCTAACAGGCTAATGCATCTCCTAAGATGCCGCACAAGCACTCTTCAATAAATTTTCTCAGTCTCTGCCCAGCAGAGCTATTTGCAAAATGTTATATGAGATCACAGTATTTTCAGTATTTTGCTCATGTATCTAATTTAGTTTTTTGGGTTTTTTGTTTGTTTTCTTTTCTGGGTTTTTTTTTTTTTTTTTTTTTTTTTTTTTTTGGCAGAGTCTCACTCTGTCATCCAGGCTGGAGTGTGGTGGTGTAATCTCGGCTCACTGAAACCTCTACCTCCCAGGTTCAAGGGATTCCCCAGCCTCAGCCTCCCAAGGAGCTGGGATTACAGGCACCCGCCACCACGTTTGGCAAATTTTTTTATTTTTAGTAGAGACAGCATTTCACCATCTTGGCCAGGGTGGTCTTGAACTCTTGACCTCATGATCCGCCTGCCTCAGCCTCCCAAAGTGCTGGGATTACAGGCATGAGCCACCGTGCCTGGCCTAATTTAGTATTTAGTACAGTATTTTAGTTGTTGATTTTATTTCTAAATTTATGTCTTGCACCAAACAAGAAATTTATGTCTTCCACGAAGCTAGCTTTATGTCTTGCACAAAACAAATGTTACTTTTGTCCCTCCTCTATACCAATAGACAGTGACCTCATGGAGGGCATCAAAACTGCTTTGTTGGTTTCTGTATTTCCAAAGCCTGTCACAACATCTAGCACTCAGTAGGCAACTGCTGGATTACTGGGAAAGGAAACAGAGAAAAGAGGAGGAGAGAGGAGGGGAGAAGAGGGGAGAGGAGGAAGGAGAGGGGAGGGGAGGGGAGGGGAGGGGAGGGGAGGGGAGGATGATATGACAGGAGATAATGTACTAAGAAGAGGAGAGGAATGAAGACGATTAAAATTCCATAACTGAGAATGCATCATTCTTCTGAAGGTGGATATCATCTTTACAGCAAAGAAAAAGAAAACTATCTTAAATAACTAAAGGATTCCAGTTTCAAGAAGGTAAAATAAATAATCTTTCCATAACTTTCTCCTTCCAAAAATCATCGCAAAGAATGAGGAAGAAAAATAAACTCTAATACAAATTGTGTTTGTTTCTTGTATAACAAATTGCCACAACCTTGGTGGCTTAAAAACAACAGAGATTTCTTCCGTTACAATTCTGGAGGCCAGAAATTTAATGTCAGTTTTACTGAGGTAAAATCAAGCCTTTTGGCAGGGCCAAGTAAAAAGAGGACACGATTTCTAGAAAAAAAAGAAAAAATACCTACAACATCATAAAATGGAAGAATAAACTAGGGTGACAGTCAAAACAAAAACAAAAACAAAACCCTAAATGGCATCTCTTTAAAAGAAGCCTTCGAGAACAACTAGAGAGAAACGTGGAAGGTAAAAGAAGAAGGAGATAAAAGTCCTCTGTTTCTTTCTACTTTTATCTGGAGGGAGACAGGAAGCAAGAGAGATTTCTCCAAGGGTAGTGGGAGGGGGACCTTTCTAGATCATTTGACCAGCTTGTCGTTGTAGAAAATTGAATAGAAAGGCATTTTATAAAGATATTGGAGGGTTTGGGAAGACATACCAAAAAAAAAAAAAAAGGAAGAGGAATAGGTGGAAGGGAGGGAGAAAGGGAGATAGGGAAACGGTGAGGGAGAAACTGAGCAAAAGAAAAATGAGGCCGGGCGCGGTGGCTCAAGCCTGTAATCCCAGCACTTTGGGAGGCCAAGACGGGCGGATCACGAGGTCAGGAAATCGAGACCATCCTGGCTAACACGGTGAAACCCCGTCTCTACTAAAAATACAAAAAAATTAGCCGGGCGAGGTGGCGGCACCTGTAGTCCCAGGTACTCGGGAGGCTGAGGCAGGAGAATGGCGGGAACCCGGGAGGCGGAGCTTGCAGTGAGCTGAGATCCGGCCACTGCAGTCCAGCCTGGGCGACAGAGCGAGACTCCCTCTCAAAAAAAAAAAAGGAAAAAAGAAAAGAAAAATGAAGGGCCAGGCAGTGCCAGACCTTGTGGCACATGCTTGTAATCCCAGCTCCTTGGAAGGCTGAGGCAGGAGAATGGCTTGAACCCAGGAAGCAGAGGCTGCAGTGAGCCGAGATTCCACCACTGCTCTTTACAAAAAGCTGTTTTATAAAGCAACTGAAGACTTAGCAAAAAAAAAAAAAAAAAAAAAAAAGAGGAGAAAAGGAGAATAGGAGGAAGGGAGGGATAAAGGACAGAGGAAGAAAGGGAGATAGGGAATCCAGCCTGGGTGACAGAGTGAGACTCCATCAAAAAAAGGAAAAGAAAGAGAGACAGAAAAAGGAAGGAAGGAAGGAAGGAAGGAAGGAAGGAAGGAAGGAAGGAAGGAAGGAAGGAAGGGAGGGAGGGAGGGAGGGAGGGAGGGAGGGAGGGAGGGAGGGAGGGAAAGGAAAGCACTGAATTCAAGAGAAAAACGAAAATTCTACTACAGTAAAGAGAATGCAATCGTATCACATCACCAGGCTTAGCAGTAAACACTACTTAATGTATAGTGCTAACTATAAATTCAGATACATATTTAAACTAAAATTGTAAAAATAGTGATATAGCTATACAGGGAGAATCAAGAATGTGGGGGTTTTAAGGAAGTGTAAATCCACATCTATAGCAACAAGAAATCAATTATTAGAGCACTAACTCTAAAAATCATGAGATAGATGTATAGATGTTATTTAAATCCACAAAAGTAAAATAAAAATTAAAGAGTTTGAAAGTGGTTGTTTTCCTGCAGTTGTGCAGGAAATAAATAAATAAAACGTTTATTTATTTAGTTACTAGCCTTTAAATTTACTTGAATTTTAAATATATGCAAATATATTCATTTGGTAAAAGTTGTTTTTAAAGAAATATTAAATTTATTTAGCCCACTCCTCTTTCCTTTGTTTAGAATTATAACAAGCAAATCAAGTAGCCACATGTCCTCTTTTTTTCTTTAAAATATTTCCATAAAAGAAGGTTATACTACAACTATAACTTTATTCATGAGTCAATACACAAATGCATGCTTTAGTCGCTCTGCTCTTCCCAGATAATTGAAATTGATATAATGTCATATTTATTAACAAGTTACACATCAGATGATAAATATAGCTTCTTGCAAAAATCTGTAGATCAAACTTGAGAAAGGAAATAGTTTCTTTTATAAAGGGACTGTGCATTCCTAAAATCGTCTGTATTATTTTTACCTGGTTTGTAGAACATTGAACTGTCTTCAGATGAAGAACTGGTTGGGCCTTGCTATTTCTTCTCATCTTCACATCACCATGGGCAAGCTAAAGAAAGCTGGAGAGAAGAAATGTTGATTTGTAAATTCAGAACTGGCACTCATTCAAAAACTTCCTATAGGTATACTAAGGCTCATCTCATCAACTTGTTAATAAAAAGGTCTTATTTATCTCTCTTAACTGTAAAACTAATGTAATGCAAAATTATATTTTTTCAGAGTAAATGACTGTTTAAAAATAATTTTTCCACCTCACACACACAGAGCAAAGTACAAGGAGAGTTTACACAACAGGATGAGAGTCTCCATTATTATTTCTGGAGAGCATCCTAGTCTGATGTTTTTCCTTTCGCCATTCTTAGAGAAAGTACACTGTCCAAAACAGATCAATCTAAGTCCTACTTATTTCCTCAGGAATACAGGTCAGGCAACATGCAGTATCCTTGGGAAAGTGGCCCAAAATGACCAAAAAGGCCGTCTCAGTAAGACATCAGGAAGCACAACTGTTTCCATTGACACCAACATAATAAAAAACAAAACGCTCTAGAACTACGTGCTTTCTGAATCATAGTTTGTAAAAATATTGCACATGCTGTGTTTTGACCACCCAAGAGAAATTAAAGTCACTTTATCCCTGTAAAAGCATCTTGGTCCTACTGATGTTTATGATTCTAAAATCAGGAGCATGGGTGGGACCCTCTCTGTTCCTGGGAAAGGATCAGTCAGTATCTGCTAAGGCGATATTAGAAAAAAGCTTTAAAATACCCCCTTTGTTGCAAACCTGCTATGGGAATTCATGGTATGCAACATCAAAGGAGCAAAATTCAGGTCACCTCTGTTGGATGTAGCCATGTGGGTGTGTGAATTAAAAACATGCAACAGGGAGCCTGACAGGTTCCTGTCTGGCCTCTTCTTCAACTTATCTAAAAGTGATCTTTATTGATAGTCAAAGGAGAGGGCTCAGACAATTTTCAGAATGTGCTGGTTCTCAGAAAAGTGGATTAAAATGGTCAAATGCCCCATTAACCTCAGGAAATAACCAATAAAAAAAAAGAGGCCCAAATCTTGGTAGCTAAAAGAAAACAAAAATTTCTGAGAATATTTCTGCTCCTCATGAAATAGATGAGACATGAAACTGTTCAGGAAGAGCTGGAGAATGTGCAGAAGTGAACTGTGTCCTTCCGGTTCCGCTTCTCAAGCTGTCAGGACACAGCATAATAGGATGGTGTTTCATGATGGGCAAGGTGATCGACCACCTAGTAGCTAATATCTGTGGATCCCCTCGGGTGGTCAGACCCTCAAAGGAATGGGCCACTCATCTCCACAGTTTCAAAGCTTATTTCAAAGCTTGCATCCTACACCTAATAAAAGTGCAGAGATGTTAAAACATGGCAGTTTGTACTAGCGTAAAAAGAGTGATAAACTGATAGAGGTAAAGTGAAAAAACATAAAAATAAAACGAGATTTTGTTATTTGAGCAAAGCTTCCAATTTAGTCGTTCTGATGCTTCCTTCAAACCTACTTTCCCTAAGCGACTTCTGCAACTTGATTTCCTTCCTGCCCAAATTGCTGTGTCATCTGCTTTCCAACTAACAAAATCCTGCCCTTCTTTGAAGTCTCCTCTCAAATTGCACCTCCTTGGTAACGATTTCTCTGACCATACTAGTCCATGACATTCTTTATTTACTGAACTCATCTGTGACCCCATCTTGGCAGCTATATTATGCGATCTTGAGATGTTATGTGTGTGTGTGTCTATGTTTGTTTAAACTGATGCCTTATCTCCTGTGTTACAGTGCAAATCCAACAAGCCCAACAACCAGGCCTTCCATTTTCTGTTTTAATTTCCTACAGCCCTCACTTCAGACTTACACAATTAGTACAAAAGAAGGTTGACAAAAGAACCAGCGTATTTTTTCCTTTAGCATAAGTAATATTAAAAGCCTTTTGCTTATCTTACAATGCATTTAGACAGAGATTTATGCTGACTTTGTGAAGAAATATTATCCGATTATCTAAACTTTCTTTTTCAGCGTTTAGGAGTTTGGCTTAGAACAAGATGACAAACAGGTGAACAATACTAAGGAGCAGCTTTGGAGCCGCTTATCAGTAATTCCACGTTAGCTCAATATTTATGGGTTCTTTAAAGACTTTATTTGTAATTTGCTCCCTATATAGATAAGTCAGCTGCATCTAGAAACTCTCTTCAGACATGTTATTTCATTTAAAGTTTTAAAAACTGGATTGCTTTTTAAATAATACCAAATTCAAAGTAATAAATAATAATAATAAATAAATAATACCAAATTCAAAGTAATAAACATTGGCTTTATTAAGCATGTCTAAATTTGGTTCAATGTTCATGCATTTTTTTTACATTTACCTTTTATTTAAAATTTTAAAATTGCTGTATAATAGATGTACATAGTTTGGGGGCACATGTGCTAATTAAATATATTCATATAATTTATAAATTTTGATATTTTTTCCCAGTGAAGATTTAAATAGTCTGTGAAAAGTGGGTATTATCCTCTAAGAGAACACAAAACTGTATAAACTGAGAAACATTAATAATCATACACAGAATAAAGTTAATAGAAATCAAACTTGGAAAACATAAAAAACTCTTTTATGTTCTTTTATGTTCTTGACCAACTTGAAAATATAGACCAACTTGAAAGAGCTTTCATTAGTTACATGACTATTTTTTTTTACTAGCAAGGAAAAATATACCTAGCTCTACTTATGAATATCCAAATCATTTTAATAAGTAAAAATGGAAAAAACCTTGTGAAGAAAAATGTTGCACCTGAGTTACACAAGGCGGTAAATGCAGAATTGAGATACGTGACAGCTACCTAAAAGATTAAATTGCCCATGATAGAGTCCTTGCAATCAGGAGATGGGAAAATGAAATAGACACACACATAGGGAAAGTTGAAAAACAAACACACACAGGTTTTGGTGAAAAAGATGGATTTGAATCTATCCTCTTTTGCTTTCCACCAAAGGAACTTGGGAAAAGCTGCTTGGATGTATTAAGCCTCGGTTTTTTCATCCATACAACAGGCATGCTAGTTCTTCATTGCCTGGTTGTTAAGCGAAGTAAATGAGGTACATAATATAGAGCATCTAGAAAAATCCATGGAGAACTCTGGATATTCAACAGGTGTACCCTCCCTTTCTGCTCTGCAGATGGATGAGCAGTTCAGCACAGCAGATGTGCACCTTATTTGAAAGAAAAAGACCCACACATCCACAAAAAGTGTTACAGAGATGGGAAAATATTTACAGACCTTTAGAACAGGAAAAAAAATTGGAGCAGTAGGAAAAGTGGAGAAAGTACAAGTGTGTATCCAAGGAAGTGAAGGACCACATGTATTCTTGAAAAGATGGAGGTTGAGTGGAAGACAATGCTTATGTGCAAAAGTAATCATATATAAAAGAAGTAAAAATGTAAGTTGGGGCCGGGCCAAGAATTCCATGTGGAAGAGTGGGGAAATACTGGGAAGCTAATAAAGCCCCAGGTCAGAAGAAGGAGAATAAACTTTCATAGAAGTAAATGGTGCCATTCTTATAAAATTCAGTTATCATAATAAAATACTGCAACTATGAAACCTTTCCTATTGGAAATGTGTCAATTCTTGTGATTAAAACTTTACCCTTAATTCGAGATTGAGCTTTTACATAAGAGAACTTTCCTTAAAGTGCATTACTATATTTTGTCCCAATAAATTATATTGTGCTTTTAAGAAGTGGCCAACAAGGCATCAAAACCCCTCCTGCCTAATTATTTGTAAGCACACAGAATGTGGAGCAGGCAGAAAATAGAAATGCACATTATATGTCTGATACTGTACAAAAGAACCACGGTTTGGGAAGCGGAGCAGATCACTAAAAATGCTATAATGGATCCATAATGGTTCTCCATGGAATTCTTCAGACACAATAAAATCTCTTTGTAATGAGGATAAATTGCACATATTATACTTATTATTCAGTAAGGACATATTTTATTTACCTATAGCATTTTTCTAGATGGATAGTGATACAGTCTCAAAAAGGCTTCCAGACATCCTATTTTGTGTATTCTCCTTGCCTCTCACAAGTTTACATTTGAGGTAATGGATCTTTCTGTTTTTGGTGTATGACACATCTATTACTCTCCTGTCGTCCATATGTTAGTCTTGCAGCTCTGTTTCAAATGATGATTTAACCAGCTTGAAAAAAAATAATTTTGGTATTCAGAGTAACATAAGGCCAAACCAAGTGCCCAGGGTTCTACCCAATCCTGCAATGCCATTTATTTTTAAAGAGCTGAGATAAACAAAGCTTATTTTCACTGGGTAAAATTAAAGAATACTGAAGGCCCAGTTCAGATAAGCAACATGAAACCACTGTATTATCATTAATATTGATCTAACTTTCTTGCATCAATACACGATGTCCTGAACTGCTTAGTTTTACTAAGAAGAAGGGGTAGAGGGGAAGCTACTAGCTACTCTCATAAAATGATAAAAACAAATAGTCTCTTAATATCTCTTCACTTTAAATAACATAACATTCATCTTACTCATAATATTTTAATCCTAACTGACCATGTCAATTCAGTAATGTCAATAATAAATCCATCCCAGTTTTTTTTGTCATTTTTTAACTCTGATTTTTAAATTCAGGATAATTTAGTCTAATGTGAAGAATAGCTTACACTTTGCAGTGATATTCTGTCTAAAGCATTTTTTAGATTTACTTTATACATACTCGAAATAGGTCTGAAAAGAAACCACAGTCAAAGTTGATGGTGGAGAAAGTGTCTTTAGTAAAGGAGACAATGGCTTCCCAAATGACTCATTTGGTGAGCAGAAAGCCAACTCGTTTTCAGAACTCTTGGCCCAGGCTGGGACTTGATGTTCTAAGCAATGCTCCAATCCCCCTAACTTAACTGAAACTCCATCTGGTCTTCACAAGTTACAAGGAAATGTAAACCATAAAGAAATCTAGAGAAGACTCGTAAAGTTTAATGAAGTCTTATAAAAAATGAGATTTATAAAATCACATT